TCAAGAATGTGCACTACTGAAGAATTTCAGATTAGGATCAAATACCTGATCCTTTGCTTCCTGATTTTTAATGGTCACCTAAGATCGGTCCGTGATAGATGCTATGAAATTAAAATCGATTTATTATCCAATTTTCATTGTTTTTTTTAAAAAAAATAGACAAACATACGTGTATAAACAAACAGTTGTACTTTAAGTGAATCATAACTTGTTATTGTTACAGCACATAATATTTTATTTTATTTTTATGTATTTAGGACAAGGTTATTTCACTGTTTTCTTGAAAAATGATAAACATGATTTTATCAATCGACACAAATTCCAATACTGACCTTTTATTGGCTTAAAAAAAGTCAAACATGTTGACATAATCAGTGATAATATAGTTAACATTTTCCAGTTATTGATTCATGATTTTAAGTGATTAATGATAGTCGGTAGGAAACCTTTTTCTGTCTAGGTTTCATACTAGTCAAAGTGAGTCAATAAGGTATATCTGAATTGTTAAAGGAACGGATACTATCTATTAGATTTGAACTAAGATCACCTGATTCTACAAACTGAAATATTACCATTATGCTATTTGGTCAGTAGTCTCTTTGTAATATTTCTTTAAAAAGTGGTGGATGTTTATGGTACACAATTAATTCTTATCACAAGTTAGTGTAATCTTTGGTAATAAACTGTTGAAAATCTACAAATTCTGAAAGTGTTACGTATTATTTCAAAATATCTTTTAATAGTCTATTCTATTGACTTCATACAATACTGAATCAATAAAGGTCAGGTTGGAACCACTAAATTTGGTACCAAATAACATCATGATTATCATATTCATCGTGAGTCTTATGAGTCTTCAAATGATTTTATATTCTCACTTGGTAAACGAGACACAATATGATCCAAACAATCCCTTATTTCACAAACATTCTTCAGCTGATGTTAGTCTATAGTTTAAGTGATACATGAGTGCGTTTTCAAGTTTGGTTATGTTACAACATTATTTTAATTTGAGATAATAATACTTTCCAAAATATTTCTAATATTTGGTATAGAAACGCATTAGAGTCGATATAATTCAATGATAAGTAATGATAATTGATTAAAGTTTTTATACATGATATCATAAGAAGTAATTAAGAACAGAGAGAGAGAGAGAAGAGTAATGTCAAATGTTTTATAGTATTGAACTTCTCATCAGTTTACATCCACGATCGCGCTCTCGGGTTTAGAACCCAGGACATTCGGTCTCTCGTTCAGTGCTTCCAGGTTTTTAATGGTGGTCTAACATCAATCGACTCATGATTTAATCAAAAACTTTACAATCTTCACAACCCCATACTGATATTTTACAGTAGTTTATAATTTCATAGTACTTCACATTTATGAACGTGTAGTAGATCATGAATTTTTGGTTGTAATGTATTACCAATTGACAAAAGTTGACGATTATATACCGAATTTATAATTGATTCACATTACATTTGTCATGATACATGACAATTCTGATTGTAACATTTTCAAAGAATTAAAATGCTACAGAATTATAAACTTGTACAAAAACATATCAAAAAGGGTCGGTCAATTTCGTAGATTAGTTGAAGTTAGACATTAACACCACTGGATGCCGGCTCAGTGGTCTAATGATTAGACGTTCGCGCGCAAAACTGATAGGTCCTGGGCTCGAATCTCGCGGGTGGCAGGATCGTGGATGCGCACCGCTGAGGAGTCCCACAATAGAACGAAACAACCGTCCAGTGCATCCAGGTGGTCTAGCTTCAAATGACTCATGATCTCAACCGTTGTACAAAAACAGTCAATTAACAATGTTTATTTTTCAATGATCATTGAGTGTTAATCAGCCTCTCATATTAAAAGAAAACCTATTAAATCTCTACAAAGAATTGAGGAAAGTAAAGCATAAGTTAGACTTATAATCTTGTGGTTGGGAAGTTAGCGGCAAACATTATTAGAAACAAACTATGTATGCTATAATTCGCTTGTATGTTAGTTATATGAATTTTAACATTGATATTTCAGAATTATAATTGATCGATCTCATTTGATATTTGTCCATTCTGTGAGAATTGTTTGAATATTGCCATTAAGTTATAAACATTATAATCACAGTCGGACGATGGTTAGCAGTGGAATCAAGAACACACGTTTCTTCTTATTTGGGATCTCATATCCGAAAGAAATAATCGTCCAGTCCTCCTTATTTCTCAATGCAACTCTAACCGATATCAATACATAATGAATACCTACTCTAAATTCAGATAACCTTCATAAACTTCATTTAATAAATTTTATCTAACGATACATTAGTTACTAAAATGATGCTTAAATTTTCAAGATGAAACTAATCGCTTTTAACACACTATTTTATATCTAATCGAATATTCATTCAAGTAGACAAAAACACATTTTCCCTATGAATTTCCTTCTGTTCATATGATATAACAGGATACTCATATATATATATATATATATATATATATATATATATATATATATATATATATATATATATATATATATATATATATATATATAAACTGTCGATGAATCCATCAACAACTAGATGAGCCTATATCATAATCAGGTGATATTTTTTAGAAAATTCGAGTTCATTGCATACTACTTAAAAAACTTCAAAGTATGTACATATATTGATGTATGAATTCAAATAGATAGAAAAATTAATTTAATCATGTGAATAACAATGATATGAAAATTACTCTATTCAATTTACAATAGATGAATTATAACAAACAATAGGATCGATGACATTCATTTCATCCTATTCAGGATTCACTAGTTAAATATCTCTTCATCTTAAATGTTTATTGATGTTTATATTTAGAGTCAGACAAAGTATCTTTTGAATTAAACGCCTAATATGTTATTCATTGAAATAGTGAATCCGGACAACTTTCTAGCTAGTCTTGCATTACTTTCAAGATTATTTACATCATAAACTAATGTTGGTATCATTACCAAGATTTGATTGGATAATTTCGGATAAATTGAGCATTGGATAGATTGTTATAAATAAATAATATATTTGTAATATCCAAATGAGTAGAAAAATTAGATTTTCTGACGTTTCGTGACTTAGTGTAAGTCATTTCTTCAGAGAATAAATAACCAAGTGACTTACACTAAGTCGCAAAACGTCAGAAAATCTAATTTTTCTACTCATTGGGATATTACAAATATATTATTTATTTATGAACTAATGTTGTAGATATAGAATATGTATTAAAAGATATGAGGTACTGAACGATAGTTGCTTCATTTTTAACAGGTTCTCAACTATAACCTTCAACACTCAAGATCTTTAAACTATTAATTCCAAATCTAATTATTGTATTTATCGTGTTTTTCGTCTTGAATCAATGTTGTTAGTGTTGTCATTGTTTTGATTCAATACTTAACAAAATTTCATAAAATTTGTTTCAATTCATTTTACACTAAACAGTAAACCATTTTAAAATTACAAATAATTGGCTCAAAACATATCAAGTTAATTTACAAAGAGAATTGAATGCTCTAATCATTGGATCATTGATGAGAGGTGATTTCTGAGTCAATCTAAGCTAGACCATCATTGAAAACCTGAAAGCACTGGATGACCATTTCCTCCGAATACGGAACTCCTCAGCAGGGTGCATCCATCATCCCAAACCAAAGAGACTTTAGGCCAAGACTTGCGGTTTAATGATCGAAAGCTTAACCCCCGGACCACTGGGGTAGTATCCAACGGTGTTAATATCTAACCTCAATCGATATATGATCTTATGCAACCATTCATCGGTTGTGTGAAGTAGATAACTATCTCACACCTGACACCGATTGAACTTCACTGGCCATAGCTTCTCACTAGAACTCTAAGAAATACATCTTGAAACTAAACACTAGTGAGCACATGATTATTATCAGTATTGAGATTTGTGGAAATTGTAGTATTTTCAAAATTGAATTCACCAGTCCAGTACTCCCAGATTTTCAATAGTAGTGTAGCTTAGATTGACTCGTGAATTCAACTTTGAAAATATTCTTTATTTCACATTCTTTATATTCATATATCTCCTCGATAATATTTAATAGGAATAATGAAAATATTTATTTTCCTTACATACCGAATCATTGAACGTAACACATCAAACTTATCCGTTTTTTTTTATCACCAATCCAATTAGTTATTTCTTATCAAGTATATTGTGTAATCATATACAACATATTATCATTACAACAGTTGAACATGTAAAAGTAACTGGGATTAAAATCACACATATAAATTTAAATGAAAGAAACAAAGTGAACTGGTTCAAAACTATATCTTGTTCGTTTACTGTTAGTTTACAAACTAAACTAAAGTAGATCAAATATGACAAGAAAACATCTATTACCAAGAACATACTTGTAACTAACAAGAGAAAAAAAAGTATTCTGTAAATGGATTATATTGTCAAAATTCTTGTACTGACAAACAAACGAGGAAGTTTTCTTTCGTATAAAAATTTGTTAACAAGTAGGAATTTGTTTAATTTAGGTTAGTTCAGTTTTATCAGTGTACTCACTTTTATAAAATAACTTTAACTTAGAACATACAAAAAATAGTTCTTCAATACTTTTCAATTTGTTTGTTTGTTTGTTTGTTTTTGGTTGGTTTTGAGCCTATAATGAAAACTGACTTCAAGTTTTTTTCTTTTCAAAAAACTTATCATTGTTTTATTAAAGTTGAGTTATGAGTACTAATCGAATTCAGAAAGCAAGTTTTATCCTATTTAGGTCTCATCTGTTAGATATATCTGTATCTCAGTGTTGATATACATGATGGTCAGTAAATGAATATCATTACTATTAAGAGTTTATACTATTTAATAAATTTCATAATTTACATCATCAACTGATTATACGTAGACAATCATTAAAAACCATAAAGTATTGAAAAATCATTAAATCTACATCTATTAATATAAAAGATAACTTACCTGTTTGAATTCTATATGAACAATCTGTTTGTCGTTCTACATTGTAATGATGTACACGACCCAAATGACATATAGATACAGCATAATTTCTATTTACTGATTCACGTAATAAAAATAAACCTTCATTAGCACCATGTGTAAATAATAATTCTTCAGCTTGTTCACGTGTAATTTTTCCATAGAAATAATTTGTTGATTCAGGTGGAATAGCTCCAGGTAATAATGTCAGTAGATGTGCTGGTGTCACTACCACATTATTAGTTACATTCATATTATTATTACTATTATTATTGATAATAATATTGTTATGCATGGAATCCACTGTTTTGTTTGTTTATTTTTTAATGTACAAACTGATGAAACATTTATTTGAAAATTTTTCTGCATAAATGTGAACTAAAAGTAATTTGAAACAAAAAATCAAGATATTAGGTTAATATGAAATAAATTTAAATAAACTATCTCCCTAGCAAATTAACACTATATATAATCATCTATAAAGGCAAATAATTTGTAAAGATTAATTTAATTTGAGCAATTCGGGTTATAGATTGACACGTTATATGATGTTCTATTAAAAACCTAGAAACATTGAATAGTCGTTTGATTAGGACTCAGGATTCGAAGAACTCTGTCAGTAAGTTGTTATGAGTTAAACCCTGTCAAATATCACTTGATAAAATAGTTAATCATAATATCAAATTTCACGACCTTGTCCCAGTGCTAAGCCAATAACACATCAACCAGCACTATTAGCCTTGGACCAACCCTGGGTCCTTATTGATCCTCGATTTGGTAGCTTCTCGATTAACCCTGCCCGTTGAGTTTAAAACACAATATCAGCATCCAGTGTAAGAACAATTTATTTCAGACATACGTGGTTTATATACAAACAGACCAGGACACACACACACACTAAAAAACAAAAAATTCTAATTATACAAGACCAAGCCAAATGTGACTATATAAGAGAGAGCAACAAACGATTGGGAATAAATCAAGAGCAGTAAGTTGAATAATAGTAAACAATAGGTCAAATGAATGCTTATGATAAACGATATATATATATATTATCTAATAATTATCCAATAAGAATATATGCCATAATAGTCCACAAATAATTCCTAGCAGTTATCATTCATTTATTTTTCGTTCGGATATGATATGAACATATCTAAGACTGTGGTGTGTGCTACGTATGTAGACATAAGTAGTATATGATGTTAGTCGTGAAAGAAATATCTGACAGCAGAGAGACAAGAAGATCGAACAGTAAAGAATGAAGACAGATTGCAATTTGTATGAAAATTCAAGAACAATGAAGTCTGAGTCATTTGAGACAATTGATGGACATTTTGCAAATTGAGCATTTAATATGTGGTTGTTAGATTTTATTAAAAATCCAAGACTTACAGGCTTTATTACAATAAATAATCCTCATTTTTAATTTTAATCCGTTCTCTGTATATAATCCGTTACCACTAGTGAGTAACTGCTGTATATATAATAATGTATGAACTTCACCAATTATGGTTTCTCACTAAAACTCATTTGATCCTTTTCTAAGTTATTTACCAATGGGTATATGATTATCGTAATTTCTTAAAGTTTTGTAAGATTCTAAATTCATTTGCATCATCTACTACAAGTTTTAATGATCAGTAAAACTTTTATTTACCATTTGATATTTTAAACTCTTGTTGACTAAAGCACCTCTGAGCTAGTATCTAGAAAGAACTATCTTCAGCAAAAAGAAACCATCATTGTTGAGTATTTTGTCTGGTTAAATAAATTTATTATGTTTTTGTAAAGTCAATAAAATGTTCAACTGTCATCAGATTGTAAGGTCAGTCTAGTATATGACTATACATATCGAATTGTGTAAATAACATACAGATAGGATCTTGCACAAAAAATAAGCCGATGACTTCAAAAAGATTTTAATCTGAAATCAAATTCAAACCAAATGGCTTTTTGTTAGTAATAGAATATGTGAGATTAGTCTATGATAAATAAATTATCCAGAATTATATATATATATATATATATATATATATATATATATATATATATATATAGAGAGAGAGAGAGAGAGAGAGAGAGAGAGAGATCAATGTTAGATCACCATTGAAAAACTGGAAACAGTAGACGGCCATTTCGTCCTAACATGAGACTCCTCCTCAGCAGTGTCCATTTACGACAGAGCATGCGGTAATCAAACCTAGAATCTCCGGTTTTTAACGTTTGTCCATCTTAGATCGACTCATGATTTCAATGAAATTCAACAATTTCCACAAATCTATATTGATATATGTATTTATTCGACTAAGAAACGAAAAAGTGTGTAAACAAAGTATAAATAACTTGTTTTAATAAAAAGAAGTCTGCTACAACTTTTGACAAACAAACAAAATGATTAAACATTTCGCTTAGTGTTAATTAACTTTGTTAGATTGAATAAGAAAATATCATTAAAACAGAATAATCTGAACACATTTATTGTCTTAATAACCATAATAACAGTCGACTTGTTATTGGATAAAAGATGAACATTATGACTTAGTATCTGGAGACCAAAACATTTTTATCGGGCTATTTATTTTCCATAATGAGTTATTTAAAAAATTTCAATACATATACATGTGTAGTGGATCAAAAAGAAGCCTTGGTTGGTATAATTATAATTTTAAAATAAATGATAAACTAATCAAGAAGGTTAAGCGTTCGCGTGCAAAACCGATAGATCCTAGGTTCGAATCCTGCGGGTGGGATCATGGATGCGCACTTCTGAGGAGTCCCATACTAGGACAAAACGGCTGTCTAGTGCTTGCAGGTTTTCCACTGTGGTCTAGCTTCAATTGACTCATGAATTCAATTTTTATTCAAGAACACCTCAAATATCTAATTATTTTAAGTAGTATACTGATATTTCCATATCCAAACAATATAATCCAAATATAATTAGTTTATAGAACAATGAAAATATTAACTATAATCTAGCCGGTGGCGATAAGAATAGACCAGTTATACAATAAAATTAACTGTCACTCTACATTCACACTGCTATAAATGTTGTATATGGATTATGATTACCTGTGGAATCCTAATAACTAATAAACTAGATGACAGGTACATCAAGCTGAAATGCCCCCCCCCAAAAGAATAAAAAGATACATACATGTTTTGTATTCCACTGCTAAACATGATCCATCTATCCTAAAATTTGAAAATATTCAAGAGTATATTTTTGTGGTTACAAACATCTACAAATTGTTCGTAATATGGTTTCAATTATCAACACAGATGTATGAATTGCGAAACACTATAAAGAAAATGGTTAAAGGTATTACGGAGATTAAAAAAGTACACAATTTTAATTCTTCTCAACTCATTTGCCAGATATTATTATTGCACATGGTTTCGACTCACACTTTGAATATGAGCTCTAATGATACTTAATTCTCCAGAGCAAATTAGGCGGAGTGGGATTCAAACCTGGAATTTAAAAGCTGCAAAATGAGTGTCTAACCCATGAAGCGACGACTCCAAATTAAACGCTCATAAATAATCATTACATATCTTTAAGACAACTTAATAAAGCTTTTTTCACTTAACTCTTAATTATAGGTTCAGTTTTACATTTTTATTATCTCTGAACACGTGAAAATACAATAAAAATGTTTAGTTCACATTTTATATCTGGCACTATTTACGTAGTAAAATCAATATTGAAATTATGATCAACTTTAAACACTGAATTCCTCAAACAATTATGTTTTATTTAATAGTTGAATTCACGAGTCGATGCAAGCTAGACCATCATTAGAAACCTGAAAGTACTAGACGGCCGTTTCGTCCTACTCTGGTCCTTTAGTATTTATTCTTTCTATTTTTAAAAAAACGGTATAAGAAAACTGATCGCAAATCATATATTAAAAATAAACTTTTACTATTCTAGAAGAAGAGAAGGAAACATCTCAATAAGAAGTTCAATAATTGAACACCTTGTGAACACAGATCACTCAATCAAGACAAACTCTGCGTTCAAAGTCATCTACAAGGTAAGTAGAAGTCTTCCAAAATTAATTATATTGCATCTTCTTATCATTGCCGAAGCAATAGCCATACATCTGGAAAGACCAGGATTTTGTGTACAAAAGAAATTGGTACAACCTCTTCTTCTACCATGGTCTTAATGTCTTATAATTTTTTCGTTTCTTTATTTTTTTCTTCATACTCCAATTCCTTAACAGCCATCTACTTCCCCTCCCATCTTCTTCTTAATACTTCTACCCTCAACTCATTTATTTGTGTTTCTATGATCCTTCTGATTACATTTAATCTCAATTTCAACATTTTATCTTTTCATACTGAGCCATCCTTTCCCAATGATAATCTCCCTATCTATCTTTTGATAAAGATTTAAGCCACTAACAATCAATCGATTATTAGTTTCCCTGTTTTGAAAGAACTTTTTTTAATACCTTTATTTATTCTATGTCACTGTCACCATGTCTAATAGAAGTTCATTATCATTATTATTGTAATTATTATCATCCTGAAAAATGGGTTAATATATTTGCGATTGTACAGCTGTGAAAATGAATTTGCCGAAAAGAGAACTCTTCGCTGAACTAATCTTTCTTATTGAATGTCTTAATGGGTGTATTTCATTTACATAATAAAATAAACACAAATTATAGACTAAATATAAGAAAATATGTATTTATCTTAAAGTCGATGTATATATCAGTGATCAGAGTAAAAACATACGTTCTGATTATCATTGCTAAAAGCAAGATTTATCAGTTAAACTGAAGGGATCATAGAAGAAATTTTGATCAGTCAATCAACAGTTAACCTATTAAGTAAAAAAGTTACATTACTGTTGATTTATAAACTGTGTTGAATAGGAGACAGTTATCTACTGTAGGAAACATCGTGAATTGACTGAAGCTAGACATGTACACCATTTCATTATGGCTCAGTAGTGTATGTATTAAGGTCCTACGTTCGATTCCTGGATTCATAGTCATGAGTGCATACCGCTAAGGATTCCCATATTAAAGCGAAACGGCTGTCTATTACTTCCACTTTTTCAGTAGCTGTCTAACAGATTAGTTAGTGATTTAAACTGTGAAGGTTCTACAGTCCTCATAAATCCTATTATACTATGTCTAAATACATTATTAAATAGTCAATGGAGTAGAGATTTGCTCAAATAATAATGTTTTTTTATCTAGTACGTATGCGAAGACATTACAATCTCGTTGTACACTTATTAATATCAGGCTAAATATTTCAAACACATTATTCAGTAATTTAAACTATGTGGGTAAAAAATGGTACTCATTGAAGCAAGTAATTGAATAATAGACCGATTAGTAATTACACTT